AATAAGATCAAACCTCCAAGGTCGGATGAATTAGTTGTAGGAAGAGAATTGGAAAGAAAAAAAAAATTGTAGACGTTCTCTCTTCTCTCAGCCCTCCTGTAGCAAATAGTTTCAACTCCTTTAAGGCACTTGACAGCTTTCTGCTTCGTAGAGTAGTTGTTTGTATACATAGAGTAGTTGTATATATAGTTCATCTTAATAACTCCGACAGCACCAGCTACAGGATCTTGAACATATCAAGGGTCCAATAAATATTGGCGAATAAATTAATGTTATGTAATTTCCATTAATAATCATCAGAATTCATTAAGCCTGTATATGAAGATTAAAGATAGAGAAAATGTTCTCCAGGTTTTCAAAGGTGGATGAGGGGTAATGCCAAAAATCGCAAATACCAGTAGTCAGCAGAATTCCAAAAGGGATTTGTAAACATGGTCATGAATACAGATAGAGCAACATGGAATTACTGAGGACGTGCTTTTGCTTATCTGTTTGCTTATTGTTTTCTTGTCTATAAAACTCCCACCCCTCCATTCCCTTTTTTTTTTTTCTTTTCTTTTCTTTTTTTCCTTAGAGATGGGGTTTTGCCATGTTGCCCAGGCTGGTCTGGAACTCCTGAGCTCAAGCAGTCTGCCCACCTCAGCCTTCCAAAGTGCCAGGACTACAGGCGTGAGCCACCATGCCCAGCCCATCTTTTACTCCTTTCGAAATCCATTCATTGTTTGAAGACTTTTGTCTTATTCTGTTTATGATGCTATAACAAAATACCACACAGACTGGGTAATGTGTAAAGAACAGAAATTTCTTTTCTCACAGGTCTGGAGAGTGGGTCGCCCAGGTGCCAGCCGGTTTAATGTCTGATGGAGAGGCCCAGTCTCTGCTTCCAAGATGGTGTCCTGTCCCAAGATGCTGTCCTGTTGTCCTGATATGATGGTGTCCTCACATGATGCAAGAAGGAAGGGCAAACATGCCTAATTTCCTCCAGTCCTTTTATAAAGGTGTCAATCGAGAAAAATTATGAGACAACTCTCAATCATTTTAGGAGATTGATTTGCCAAAGTTAAGGATGCACGCCCAGGAGACAGTTCTATGCCTTTTCTGAAGATGATTTTGAAGGTTCCAAATTTAAAGGGGAAAAGGTGGGATTTTGAGAAGTACGTAATTTTCATGTATGAGGGCGATAAGGAAAAGTAGTCATTCATGCCTGTGTCTAGCTCAGTGAATCTGATTTTATATATATAAGATGACAAATGGAGCAGGGGAAAAATGCAGGACATCTACATTTTTACATAAGGTAGCATAGACAAAATGGGGCAAGGGAACAATGAGATATGCATTTGTGTCTGGTGGGCAGCGGGGTGACTGCATCTGTAAAGATTATCTATCCATTTACATTGCCGTAGTGAAATTTTAACAGAACTACCTTAAAAGATCTTGCAGCTCACTAGGAATTTTCTTTGTGG